ATGAGGTCGATGAATATGTTAGTGTTCCCTGGTATAGACATGCTACAGAAGTTGTTAGCAGATCAAGAAAATGAGGGGAACATGACAGCCAACACAGGTTCTATTTAAAGTGTTTTTTGATTTTCCTTAATCACAACAATATTAGCCTGTTCTCTGACTTTGCTTTTCCTTTCCACCTTCATTTTCACCTTGCAATAGATTTAAAGCAAATGGATTGTGAAGGCAAGGATTGTATAAAGCCTGGGGGCGGAAGGAAATCAGACATTGGTTCTCCGGCTAGTCTTGATGGTCATGGGTCTGATGAAGCTGGTTTGCATCCTATCAATGAAACAGTTGATGAAGCTGCTGCTACGGATTCTGGTTCGCGACGTATCCGTGTCTCCTTAAATGATACTCCTGTGATGAGTGGTTCTTTAGATGCTTCTGATGAACGTAAAAATTTAGATTCCACTGAAAGGAGTATATCTTCTGACTCTGCTTCAGGGGCTGAATTAGCTGGATCTACTTTTGACAAGGAATTCCCTCCTATTAATACAAGCCATGAAGCTCTAGAGACAGAAAATAAACCAGTGCTGGATTCTCCTGTTGAAGATAAAATGCAGTCTACCTCTCAGTGGGCTGGTGCTTCTTTAAATAACACTTCCATGTTGAGTAGTAGGTCGTCAGATGCTTCTAATGAACGTAACATTCAGGTTTCAAACAAGGGAACTACATCTTCTGACTCTGATTCAGAAACCAAGTCAGCAGAATACGCTTCTGATGCAAAATGCCAGTCACACCCTGATACAGGCCACGATAAAAAGGTGGAAATAGAATCCATTTTGTATTCTTCTCTGAAAGAAAACTCTTCAAAGTCTTTGGAAGAAGGTGCTTTGGATGATTCCTGCGAAGATGATTCCCATGAAGAGAATGTTGATGTTGCCTGTCTTGAGCCTATTAACTCTTCAGGAGAAACTTTTGCGAAGAACACCCCGGAGGAAGCTAATGGAAATCCAGATTCCAGTTTCTGTGATGCTAATGAGAGTTCCTTGCCAAATAAATGTGATTTGGATATTCAGTTTGATCGTGAGACTAAAAACAAATCATGCGTGGCTTCAGAAGTTGCTTCCGATGCAATGGATTGTGAAAAGAGCCTTCCTCAAGCATCTAGTGATGGTTCCAGGACTGATTCCCGGAAAGCTGAATCTGGTTCTGTTTGATATAATTATGAAATGTTTGCTGGGTTCTGTATGCCAAACCATAAATCTCTGAGAGTGTTGGAAAGCATCATTTGTTCACAATTTTGCGGGGCATTGGAGCTGATGGCGATGCCCTGATTTGGATTGCATGAATAAGAAGAATTTGTTACAACTCCAAGGAAATTGATAGTCCTTTGCCTTGTTTTTAGTATGGTTTTAAGGTTCTAGTTCAACTTTAAGTGGACTTCAAGATTATTTCTTATCCTTGGAAGTTGCAAGATGTGCCATTGTTGCATCTAGGATGGTGTTATGTACAATTAAGTCAATGGTGAAGTTGCTGATGCTAAACGACGTTTTGAACGTCCCAGGTATGGCAGTAACAGACTGATGCTGCTTCAATGTGTGTATATCTGGATCTGCTTGATGTGAAGTTTGGGATTTTTCCGATGTCAGCTCATCACATGACAGGTGGTATAAGAAAATTCTTTAGCGGGTGTTTTCGTGTTAAATTTTAACATTTGTACCTAGTGCCGGTGCAGCATTAACAACAGACCTCAGCCGCAATTTTGATTGCCCAACTGTTTGGAAGCAACAAATTTCTATATTGTCAACTTCTGTAGCTCAGATCAGCTTCTCATTCGAAATTTCAAGTATGGGGTTTAATCATTGACTTTTTTTCTTAGCGGTATAGGTGTGCATGATAAGTGAAGGTCTGTTGAGTGAAGAGGAAAAAGGTGCTCTGGTATTGAATGGAGTTGTTCCCTTGCATTTGATGATGATTTTGCCATAAAATTTCTGAAGCACTCGTTAGATGTGTAGATTTATTGGACTAAAAATCCCATTGCTCATAGGATCATATGATGGCTCATTCCTGTGTATATTTATGTCCTTTGAACCTTAAAGCTCTTCAGTTTTGTTATATTCAAGCTTCTCTTGTGTTCTTCTCGAAACCAAGGCATGTTACGTTGTACCTCAAACTACTGTTTTGTTAGAAATATTGTGAAATGTTACCTCCAAGACAAGGTTTTTTTCTTAATAGATTGTTATCATTTTTAATTGGATTTGTTGATTCTTATGGTCATCATGGGATCCACTTCTAAGAGACGTGCGTGCCTGCATTTAGTAAAGAAATGCGGCCCTTATTCTTCGGCTCGTATAAAATGCTGAAAATCAGTTGAATGAATGATTATTGCTCTCTTCAGATTTCACATTTTAGAGATGCAGAGGGAGGCAATGGACATGTACACAGGCGTAGCCCCCTACCTCTATGGTGTGATTCACCGACTCAAGCGTCGGTGGGGATATCGGAGGGTGGAGGTTGAAGAAGAAGAAGAGCATGGTTTGATTAATCGGAGGAGGGTGGAGGTTGAAGAAGAAGAGCATGGTTTGATTAATCGACGGTTCAGAGTTGTGGGAATTGCAGTCATCATTTCGAGGAGGTTGAAGAACATTATGTCTGGTCATATGGTTTGAAGTGTGTTAACTTTGTATATGCCATTGATCCCTGACCCCTTCGTTCATCATATATGGACTCTGTTGTTCAACATTCCAAGCTTAATTCTATCAAATTTGCTCATTAAGCCTTCTAATTTTTGTAGTTATTGATGCTACTTTATTATTTATTCTCACCAATTTTTTTTTTCTTTCCCAACTTCTAAGATTGGAGGGAGAAATATAGCTACAACCATATAGCTTCCATGATAATTTTTTTATCGAACTTAATCTAGCAAAATTTTTTGGCTAAGGACTTGAATCTAAAAATTCCAAAAAGAAAATATGGATTGATTGCTATAATATTATAAGATTTTATTGGCCTAATACTAATTTTTTTATAAAGCTAATAATTTTGTAAACAAATAAAAAAAATTAATTTCTTTTTACAAGGATGATATCCGAAACTAGTCTAATGTACGGGAAGGAGAGTCGAACTCGATTGTTGGGTGGGTAGTAACTTTGGCTAATTGGCCTAAGAACATTCACAATGAGCTTCCTAAATCACCTCTTTAAACAAATTTTAGGGAGGAATTGTAAAAATACAAGTTATACAACTCAGAGGCAGCCCATGGGGTGTGCGACCGCACAGGGCCCCCAAAATTTAGGAGCCTCCAAATTTTTCAAAGTCAACCCATTAAATTAACTAAAACATGAAAATAAAAATGAAATATTAAATATCACCCCACAACACCACATGCAAGGCACCAAAACCAAAACCAAAATTGAATTGAATATTAATTATCAACAAATTCTACGACTTAGAGAGTAGAAGCCCTAATTTAATTCATTTTCCTCTTTTCCAACTCTCATGTTGTAACTCTTCTTTTTATTTATTTATTATGGTTTGAAACTTGTGTTTTCCTCTTCCCAACTCTCAAGCTGCAAAACCATTCTAATATTCTTTTCTCTTTCAGTAAGTCTTTCTCACTCTCCTCCATCAAAATAAAGCCATTTCTCTTCAGTACCAGTGTACCACCCTCTTCCATTAAATTTTGGATTGTAAAAACCCAAGCTTTAACCTTTTCCCCAAAATCACAGTTCGTTTCTCCCTCCCTTATTCACATGAGAATTCACCAAGTATTGAAATTGGAAAATCAATTTATCAGCTATGTGATTTGGAAGGGTGACTAAAGAAATTTTTCTGGGAAGCTTTTTCCGAATGGGTTCTTCCCGTGTCATAAATTTTTGTTTCTATATGGATTTTTTTCTTCCTACTTGTATATATAGGGCATCGACATCCATATTTGCATAGAGCCTCCAAAATCAATGGACCGGCTATGATACAACTCTAACTATGCTCTCTATCCACCTCATAAAATATAGAGTCCTCTAGGAGCTCCTAAATCTGATGTGAGAGAAAGGACTCCTAGTGGTTCATTATAATTTAAAAGTGGTGATTTCCCCACTCATTTTTCTCCTATTTTATTCACTTACACTCCTTTTTTATAATTGAAAAAGGAGTGTAAGTGGATAAAATAGGAGTGGGGAAATCATTGCCCTAATTTAATGCTGTTTTATTTAATGAGTATTTCAAATATGCTAACTATTTTTTATTTTATTTTAAATTGAGATGGACCAATCAAAAAAGAGTTATAGTATTTATGACTCTCTAAACTAGAGAGCACGATTAAAGTTTAAATTTTATAAAAAACTCCTAAAATAACTTTTATATATTTTTAGCTAAAATTTAACTAAAAATAGAGTGTATGATTGTGGAGGCTCCCACGTCTTAAAAAAAAAGAAAGAGATTTTCTATTTAAACCCCACACTTCTCTTAGTTCACCCCATGTTCTAAGTTCACCCCAACTTTTAATTTAAATTTTCACAATTTCTAAGAAAACCCCACTATCTTCCCAAACTACCCTTAAATACACCCCAAACTAAAAAAATAAAAACTAAAAGAGATTTTTTATTTAAATCCCACAATTTTCTTTGTTCTCAGCAAAAAAAAAA